TATAATTCTTTTGTTTTTGTGTTCTATGTTCCTAGTCGTAAATGGTTGTACTTGCTTTTGCCTCAAAACTAGAGTGTTCATTTTTTTATTCAGTCACGTGATGTGGGCATTACTAGCTATGCCAGCATTTATTGCCTTTGCCTAATTGAAACCATGTGCATCTGGTGGAGATAACAAGGTGTAGAGCTGGATGAACGTAGCAGGCCAAGCAGCATCAGAGGAGCAGGAAAGCTGACATTTTGGGCCTAGACCCTTCTTAGTAAGTAACTTAGAGAGGAACTTGTAGGCGGTGGTATTCCCATGCATCTGTTGCCCTTTTCCTTCTAGGTGGTGGAGAACATGTTATTTCCTCTGAAGGAGGCATGTGCAGTCTTTATTCATTAATGGGATGAGGGTGTCACTGGCTAAGCAGCATTTATTGCCCATTCCTAATTGCCCAGAGGGCAGTTCAGAGTCAACCACATGGTCTGGAGTGACATGTAGGCCAGACCATGTAAGGATGGCAGCTTCCTTCCCTAAAGGACAGTAGAGAACCAGATTGGTTTTTCTGACAATCGACAATGGATTCGTGGTCAATATTAGATTCTTAATTCCAGACATTTTTATTGAATTCAAAATCCACCATCTACCATGACGGGATTTGAACCCAGGTCCCCAGAATATTATCTGGGTTTCTGGATTAACAGTCCAGTGATAATACCACTAGGCCATTGCCTCCAGAAGGTTATATCTATTGTTATCAGTCACTACAAGTTGCAACTTAAGCTGTCAATAAACTTGTTTGAACTTTTCAAGTAAATTGAAATTATGCTGCTCAATGTGTGTCATTACTGATAACATAAGAATTACCTGCCTTGTAGCCACAGTATTTATGGGGCTGGTCCAGCTGAGTTTCTGGGCACTAGCAACCCTGGGATGTTGGTATTCGGGATTTAGTGGTTAGATTCATTCTTATTGGAGATAAATATTGCCTGGCATTTGTGTGGTGTAAATATTACTTGCCACTTATCAGCATAAGTTTAAATGTTATCCAGCTCTTGCTGCATTTGAAAATGGACTGCTTTAGTATCTGAGGAATCATGAACAGTGCCACACTTATGCAATCATCAGTAAACATGCCCACTTCTGACCTTATGATGGAGAGAAGGTCATCGATGAAGCAATTGAAGATAGAGTCGTAGAGGTGTACATTATGGAAACAGACTCTTCTGCCCACCAGATATCTTAAATAAATCTAGTCCCATTTGCCAGAATTTGACCCAGTTCCCTCTAACCCTTCCTATTCATGTAGCCTTCCAGATGCCTTTTAAATGTTGTAATTGTACCAGCCTCCACCACTTCCTCTGGCAGCTCATTCCATACACGCACCACCCTCTGCGTGAAAAAGTTGTCCTTTGGGTGCCTTTTAAATCCTTTCCTTCTCATCTTAAACTTATGCCCTCTTGTTTTGGACTCCCCCACCCTGGAAAAGACCTTGTTTATTTACCCTTTCCATGCCTCTCGTGATCTTATAAACATCTATTAGGGCACCCCTCAGCCCCTGACACTTCAGTGAAAATAGCCCCAGCCTATTCAGCCTCTCCCTACAGCTCAAACTCTCCGACCCTGGCAACGTCCTTGTAAATCTTTTCTGAACCCTTTCAAGTTTCACAACATACTTCCTACAGCAGGGAGACCAGAATTGCACGCAGTATTCCAAAAGTGGCTTACCAATGTCCTGTACAGCCGCAACATGACCTCCCAACTCCTATACTTAATGCACTGACCAATAAAGGCAAGTGTACCAAACACCTCCTTTACTTCACTCCTGCAGTTCTGAGGAAGGGTCACCGGACCTGAAACATTAACTCTGATTTTCTCTTCACAGATGCTGCCAGAGCTGCTGAGCTTTTCCAGCAACTTCTGTTTTTGTACCTCCTTCACTATCCTATTTACCTGTGACTCCACTTTCAAAGAGCTATGAACCTGCACTCTGAGATCTCTTTGTTCAGCGACACTCCCCATGACCTTACCAAAGATTGGTTGGATCTTGGATATTAGGACTGCAGTTGCAGTCTCAGTATCAGAGTGTCAGCTTCTGCATGACTTTACACAGGCTAACAATAAATTTCAGATGACCCATTTTTGGATCTGTATTGTTCTTATCCAATTGCCAGTTCTCATTTCCACATTACCTGACATTTATGAACGGGTCTCTCTGTAAACAGCAGTGAATGCTGATGATAGATAATCAGGAAATTTCAGTAGGTGAAATTTCCTACCTCCATAAACTCATAGACTGGGTGTAGTATTGTTTAGTAAAAATTAATAAATAAGTATTTTGAATAAAATATTTAAGAGTAAATTTGTTATCCTGTGTAAGATTTGAAACAATGCCCTGGGATTAAGAGTCACATTATCATCTGATACATTTAAAAAATTTTGTTTGAACAACACAGGTTTTAAAAATCCCAATCAAAGAAGAATAACACTCAATTTTAAACGTTTTTCCGATCCTTTGATAATCTTCCTTCAACTTGCCAAAATAGTATTGTTGGGGATTGAAAACAACGAAAGTCACTGGTAACATAATAATTTCAAAGAAAGAGTAAGCCACATCTTGCAAAATTGCAAATGTTACATATGAAAGCCTTTAGTCCAGATCTTAAAAGACCCCAACATATTCTAGCAAAATAGCCAGAAATTCTGTACAGTCATAGTGAAATTCAAGTTTCACAATTTAACAGAATAGTTCTAATACTTCCACTTCAATTCAAATCAACACTTATTTGCACAAAATAAAACAAAATGGCACATGCTTCAAGAAAAGATAAATTTGATAAGTTCCCTGTTCTTTCTTCAGCCAATTTCCAAATGAATGTAATAAAACTCAAAACAAAAATTAGCTTTCACTGTTTAATAAAACCTTCAATATGCAAACATCAGCAAAGTTGGAACTTTTAACAATTTGTAAAATTTTTCACTGGTGATTTACCTTTTGTGCGTTTTTTTAAAACTTATTTCTTCTCCTCTAAACTGTTATCTTTAACTGTGAATTTTCTTTTGTGTCATTTCTTTACAACATTTGAATACCATAGCTTCACATCCTCCCAAACAATCTCTTTTCTTCCTCTTATGTCATGTCCCATTAACCCTCCTCGCTCATACTTTTCTCTCTTTTCTGAGCTTCTAACCATCACTTGCACACAGCTTTCGAATCACTAATCTTTGTGTTGTTCTCAATTTCTGTTCTTAACCTGATCTTTCACATCCAACATCTTTAATCCCTCCATGCATCAAACAGCATTCAGCATATCAGGATAGCAGATATACCTTACATCCATTACTCTGCTTCAAATACTGATCAATCTCCACTTAGGACCATTCAATCTAACCCTAATTTAAAGGTAACTTCCCTGTAGTATATTTAGTTATTATGGATTTTCACTTTAAATTTGTCATTTAATTCTACTTTACATGAGTTCACAGATTAACATAAATTCAATAAGTCTTTTTATTTTAAATAGTCACTCAGCCTTATGGTTTCTTTTACCTGTGAATTAAAGAAGAATAAATTGAATTCCATTAAAAATTTGTCACGTTTAATGGAGTTATTATTTAATTAAAAAATACAGAAAATGATTAACAGGTTGAAGATGGAAATTATTTGATAAAAATAAAACAGCTATGTTGCTGCATGCCTAGCAAATGAATGATTTAGCAATCACATGAAATGGCCAGCTCTGCTTGATAGCAGATTCTTCTTCCAAATGTTGGTTGGGTTTCTCCTACTGACATTTAATTAGGTTCCTTATTACCGCAGGAAAATATCAACGATGTCTTCATCTTCTTATTTCCCTTTTCAATTTATTGATTGACATGTCATCTCTTAATATCACGATTTTGAATTGTAACCTGAGTTTGATGTTTAACCTGTGTGGTTTGAACCCACTGAGAAAATTGTCCATCTTTCTTTAATAATTTTCCATCATGTGAAGTCCTTGTAGTCAATTTTCCAGGTAAAAATTCTTGAATTATAGCAAAATGTTAATCCTACTTTATCTTATTTAGATAGTTTCTAACATTGATCCAAATACTAATGTCTCTTTCACCAACACTATCTTCATCTTTTTTAAAGCTCTTGTTTCATTTTACTACCTTATCATGGCACAGAAAGTTGAACTTAAAAGACAAGTATTTCATTCATGGTTTTCAGTTTGTTAGGGACAAAGCAGTTGATTGAGTTAAAACGTAGATCAATTTGCTGCTTTTCCTTGTGGGAAAAGCAACGGAACCATGAGGGAGTCTTTAGAACCAATTAAATTTGACGATTAAGGGTAAATCAGGAGAAGCACTGAAAAAGAAATTGCACTAATGTTGATGAATCAATATCAAGTCAGGTACTGCAAAACAATTAAAGGAACAAATATAGCATTAAATTGAGAGAAAAATAAAGGCACTGAAAGAAGAAGTAAGAAAATGTTAACAAATTAAGATTTAAAACTTTACAAAATCCAAGAGTTCACCATAAAAAGGAATGAAATGTTTGTTTGATTTCTGGGCCAGAAGACTTGATTGGATTTCAAAGGGTATTCAAGGCTGTTTAAAAATTAGACTTTCTTTTCTGTGCAAGTTGAATGGGCAAATGCAGCAATTTTATGACTCTCTCAGAGAGGCGAAGAATGAGTTATTGCTTTCAGCAAGCTCACGAGAGTAGCAGTTGATTTGTAATTTATGGGTACTTCTATTTCAGTAAATTGCTGACTAATTTACACATCAAGTAGAGTATTCATTGCTGTTCATTTTTTCAGCACATTTTGACCTGATAATTTTGACTTGTTTCAAATGTTATAGACTTGAAATCCATTTGATAATATTTTATTGCTGTTGATAAAATATAACTTAATTACATTTACCCATCATTTGAACAGATGTTAGAAAAAGTTGAATGCTCTTACATGGTCTTGCTCATTGTGATTTTGCAATGTTGAACTACTGAAATTTGTTTTGCTTTGTCTGAGATGCTGTCTGAAAATCTGAGAGGAGAAATGAGCACAACACTTGGCAGTACAAAGACCTCTCTTAAAGATAGTCAATTTATTCAAACTATTGCCAAGTCTCTCAATGTCAGTTGCAAAGAGGTAAACTGTATACTTCAAATGTTTTACTGTCCCATAGTTATTGAACTTACCATGTTAACTTCTGTTGAAATTTTGATGAATATTTTCAATCCCTTTAAAGACTGTCATGCTTTTGTGTCAAAATGTTATGATCAGGAAGTTAATAGGTAGTATTTAACAGAGGAGAACCAACTGGACAGCTGGCGAGAGCCCTGTGTTGCCACATTGTACATAGACTCATATAGCATACAATCAGACCCTTCGGTCCATCCAATCTATGCTGACCATAATCCCAAATTAAACTAGTACCACCTGCCTGCAACTGGCCCATATCCCTCCAAACCTTTCTTATTCATGTACTTAACCAAATGTCTTTTAAAAGATGTAACTGTACCTGCGCCCAACACTTCCTCTGGAAGTTTCAAGAGCCAATTCAGCATTTAACTGGCCAATTGTGGACCTTCCCCAGGATCAAGGATCCAAGAGCAGAAGTTCCACTGACAGTGCGGCCCTCATCAGTCAAAGAGTGGCAACTCTACTAAATGGATACATAATTGATGAGGTGATAGTTGCTTCTAGTACAACACACAGCTAAAGCCTTCTTTCATTGTTCAACCCAGGCCACAGCTGAGACATGGTGGGGGAGCATTTCAATTTGGGGATCCCAGGGAATGGGCAAAGGAAGTAAGGTTGGTAGTAAGGGCAGAGTTGACCTCTCAATAGGCCCACCCACTTCCTGATGCTGAATCTCTCAATCAGGTGCTGAGGACCTTTTAAAACAAAAGGACCTTTCTGGGAGCAAGGAGATGGCCAGAATAGATTTGCTTGTTGAGCTTCCCCTTTACATTGCTGGATTATCAGTGGTATGGATGAGGGCTTTAAGTGGGCCTCAAATGGCAGTAAGTTGGATTGACCATATTAACCTTCCAGTCATGGAGCAAATCAGAATGGAGATGGGAAGGTCACAGGGTCCCCATCAATCACCTTCTTGCACAATTAAATGGCACCCACCATCAAGCTTGCAATGTGAGAAACAGGGATAGTCATATGAATATCAAAATGTTTTGTTGCTAAAAGGTTTATTCAATGTTAACATTTTGTTTCTAATCAAAGATTAATGAATGACATTATATGTAACAAGTTTCTTTCCTCTATTAAAACAACAACAACTGGAGAATATCCGAGATGTTTTGATTCCTTCCTTGGATTATGCAGCTGCAAGGACCGGTGATATCAGGACATTGGAGGAGATACAGGAAATGGTAAAGAAAGGAAAACACAAGCAGCAATAAAAATCAATAGTTGTTTAAATTATGAAACGAAATACAAAGTACTGGAAACATTAAGAGCATCAGATAGCATCTTTAGAGAAAGCAATGGATGCAAATTTCAGCATAGACCATTTGTAAAAATTGTTTTGCTGAAAGCTTCAATCCTGAACTGTTAACACTTTTATTTTCTTCAGTAGTGATTTCTGACCAACTCAGTGTTTCCAACATGTTTTATGTTTGTTTTATAACAAAGAAAGATCTCATTAGGCAGCTTTCTTATCACTGAATTTTCCAGTCGATTTAGTAGTCTTTATTGTCTAACATCTGCATGATTCAGGCAATTTAAATGGAAGGACAAAGATTAATTTATTTAGAGCTAATGATTTTTTTTTGGTGTGCGTTTTTCTGTTAGATAAACTTAGGCCAGACCTCAAGGTGTTTCTTTAAACATCAGACTGATGAGGTGTCATTGGACCAAAACATTAACTCTGCTTTCTCCACACAGATGCTAGCAGATCTGCTGAGTTTCTCCAAAAATTTTTGTTTTTGTTTCCAATCTCCAGCATCAGCAATTCTTCATTTTATTTCAGCAGTTATGGTGTTGAGGTGGCTGACCTATATCTGGAATGATAAGATAAATTAAGGGGGAAGAAAGCTTTTTAGATGCCTTATTAATGGTACAAGTCATAGAACATAGAACTGAACAGCACAGGAACTGGCCCTTCGGCCCATGATGTTGTGCTGAACATCATGCCAAAGTATAAAATTGGTTCAATAGAAACAAGTGTAATTGAGATTTTTGCTTTTTAACCAACTTGAGTTTTCTTGTTACCTCTTGATAGCAACACCAGTGGCCATTTAGGAAATGCTTATAAGCGACCAGGGGATCAAGAGTGCCCCTGTTAGCTCCAGAAAAATCACATGACGTGTCAATGGTCCATGTTGGATCATTGAAACTCAATCCTGGGTTTGTTACCATGAATCAAAAATGGAAGCTTCCAGTGCAAATAATCACTGCTTTGCCAGTTGTGTAATTGGAAGAGTTGGAATGAGTATCTTGACTTAGTTTGAGGGAGTTATGGATTTGCTGACCTATGTTAAGTAAGATTTAGGTAACTTTATGGTAGAACCTCCACTTGCTGAAAAGATGTTCTTGATCAGAGTCAATTTTCCTATCTATTATTTGCATCATTTGATATCTTTTTGGTCACCAATAAGTGTTCTGCCTATAATTGAATGGAAGAACAAGTTGCAATTGGCTTCAGAGGCCTGCTAAACTTTTTTACAAGGCAGGTCCTCTCTGAAGTTTTGTTAAAGACTTTTCTCACTTAAATATAGAACCATTGCATTTGTAATCAGCTGCTCTCTGTGCAATTACACGGACTTTTTTCAAAAATGAACCTCATACTAACTTTGGATGCTAGAGTTTGCAATGATTAAGTGTTGCTGTTGATTTTTTCCACTCATCTTATTTTTAGTTAAAATATGCCCATAAATAGGTAGATTATTTTGAGAAATCAATGGATGTATAAATTGTGGTGATGTGCAAGAGTGCCTCTGTAATTATTTTCATACTGCCACTCATCATAGTTCTAATGAAACATTGGCAGTGGGTAGATGCTGGAGACTGCTTAACGTTTTCAGTATGTTATTTAGGGTGTTGTGTTGTTGGTTGCAGGTGAGACTGTGTTGCACTAGGATTGCTCAATGTTTCTGGTTGTGGTATTGTTCTGATTTGGCGTGTGGTTTGTTGCATATAATTTGGCATTCATAGTCATAGCATCACAGAGTTGTACAGCACAGAAACAGACCCTTCAGTTCAACTTATCCATGACAACCAGATGTCCTAAATTAATCTAGTCCTATTTGCAAGCAAATGACCCACATCCCTCTAAACCCTTCCTATTCATGAACCCATCTTTTAAATGTTGTAATTATACCAGTATCCAACACTTCCTCTGGCACCTTACTCCCCTCTGCGTGAAAAAGTTGCCCCTTAGGTCCCTTTTAAATCTTTCCCCTCACCTTAAACCTAGTTTTGGGCCTTTAGTTTTGGACTCCCCTACCCTGTGGAAAAAACCTTGGCTATTCACCATATCCATGCCCCTCATGATTTTATATACCTCTGAGGTCTTCAACCTCAGCCTCCAATGCTCCAGGGAAAATAGCGCCAGCCTATTCAGCCTTTTGCAGAAGTTCAAACCCTCCAACCCCAGCAACATCCTGGTAAATCATTTCTGCATCCTTTCAAATTTAACAACATCTTTCCCACAGCAGCGAGACCAGAACTGGATGCAGAATTCCAGAAATAGCCTAATCAATGTCCTGTAGAGTCGCAACATGACATCTCAACTCTTATACTCCATTTACTCATATACAAATGTACCAAATGCCTTCTTTACTGCTCTGTGTATCTACTACTCCACTTTCAAAGAACTATGAATCTGCACCCTAAGGTCTCTTCGTTCTGCAACATCCATAAGACTATTCATACGTGATATAATCAGTCCTGGCCATCTGTTGACAACTTCTGATGCATTTCATGAACCTTCAGTTGAGTGTTGTATTTGATCTTTTTGTGGATGTTCAAATTAGGTATGAGTCATGGGCACATTTTATTTCCTCCTGTTTTCTAAATTAATGCATTTTGTACTGTTGGGAGTATCAATGAATAATGAGTGGGGAGAGTTGTCTTGCAATTCTATGCTGAATATTAGTTCTGCCTTGGATCCATGGAATGAAGAAGTTTACAACTTTGGTATGGTATATATAATCAGTTAAACTGTTCCATACAATCTGTCAGCTGATTATCTGCACTGTAGAGTTAGATATTGTAAACGTGGGGTTTCTAATCATGTGACTGCTTGTGAACTGCCGTGCTTGTATTCGTCTTAACAACACTGTGGCTGTGACCAAAGATGGGTCCTGCATGCCAGTAGGCCTGCCAACACCACATCAGTGACATCCTCAACAAAAACACCTGGGTTGACCAGGGCAAATTATTGAAGTAATGCTTGAGTTAATGGATACCAGGGATGACCTATTGTCTGTGCCGACTTTAGCAATGGTTGTTTGAACTATTGCTCACCAGTTGGTCCCATTAAACACTTCCCTGCTTCAACTTTACTGTCCCAGCAATGACACACAGGACATGGTGACTGTGTGCTGAGTAGTTGCATTTTTAGCAGGTTGAAATAGCCCATAATGCTGGAATGTTCACGTGCACATGAATGGCAGTCTTCACTTCAGCACCACTTAAGTGGGCAAATGACTGGCAAACACCAGACCCTTGGCCTCAAGCAACTCCCCTCTATGAACCATTTTCTGAAGCTGCCCTTTAGCTATTCGTTCAACAACATGGGTGTGGCCATCTGTGTTATGTCACTTGATGACTTTGTGAGTTTCAGGTACCAACATTATACATCTTATTCTGATCCCTAATATTCTGAATTCAGAGGAACACTCTCAGTCCAATCAGCCTTGCAATTGTTCAGTGTTTTTCTCCCCAGCATTTATCTCTGCCCTCTTGGACAGCTATCATCTTACAATATGTGGATTAATCTGTGTGATGCTAACTGTCCACTCATCGATGCAGTGGTTGCAATCAGAAGGTGTGGTGAGCTGAAGGGGATGGCCCACAGGCAGGACTGGGTCTCCTCCAAAGAAGACAGTGTGGAGAATAACCCACAAAGGAGTACGGAGTGCTATTATAAGTGTAGAGCAGCTTTGGAAGGTACTTAGACTACTTCTGGTGGCAAGGTGCTCATGATAGTCATGCAGAGTATGGTTGAATCATTTGCACTGTTCATTATCCTATGAATGATAGGGGTGGTGTTGCAATGCCACAAATCTTGTAAAACTTTTGTAGGATCTTGCTGTCAAAGTTGTGCCTCTGATCAATGTGAATCGAATATGGGATACCAAACAGACAAATCTATCATGCATTAACAATTTGTCTGTAGTCGAGGACTTTTGGTCATGGGTCAGAATGTCTCCTTGAACTTGAAGAACATAGAACAGCGAACTGTACAGCACAGGAATGGGTCCTTCAAATTAAACTAATCCCTCTGTCTGCCCTTGGTCCATATCTCTCCATTCCTTGCATATTCATGTGCTTACCTAGAAGTCTCTTAAACGTTCCTATTGTATCTGCCTCCACCACCTACTCTGGCAGCGCATTCCACACTCCTACCACTCTGTGTAAAAAAACTTGCCCCTCACATCTCCTTTGAACTCCACACCGCCCCCCCCCCAACTCCACCTTAAATGCACGCTCCCTAGTTTAAGGCATTTCGACTGTGGGAAAGATTCTGATCATCAACCCTATCTATGCATCTCATAATTTCATAGACTTATATCAAGTCTCCCCTCAGTCTCTGCCGCTCCAGAGAAAACAACCTGCGTTTCTCTAGCTGCTCCTCATAGGTAATACCCTCTAATCCAGTCAGCATCCTGTTAAACCTCTTCTACACCCTCTCCAAAGCCTCCACATCCTTCCTGTAATGTGAGAACCAGAACTGAATGCAGTACGCTAATTGTGGCCTAATCAAAGTCTTATAAAGCTGCAACATGATGACCTGAATCTTGTACTCAATTCCCCGACCAATAAAGGCAGGTATGCCATACGCCTTCTTCACCACCCTAACTAATTGCATCTAATTGGGAGCTATGGACTTCAACCTCAAGATCCCGCTGTACATCAATGCTGTACAGGGTCCTGCCATTAACTATATATTTTTTCCTTAACATTTGATCTCCCAAAGTACAGCATCTCTCATGTGCCTGGATTGAACTCCATCTGCCATTTCTCCGCCCATATCTGCAACTGATCTATATTCCGCTGTATCCTTTGACAACCTTCTACACTATCCATAACTCCTTCAATCTTTGTATCGTCTGCAAACTTACTAACTCACCCATCTAAATTTTCATCCAAGTCATTTATATATATCATAAACAGCAGAGGTTCCAGTAGAGAACCTCAATGAACA